AACATTTTCTCTAAGATCAAAATTGCTTGATACCATATAGACTTTGAGAAATTAATTTAATCTCATTCTCCTTGATATAATGTTATATTTATATATTACACTGGAGAAATAGATAAATAAAAATAACTAAATGGTAACTATTAGGAAAAATTATCTACTATAAATGTTTTTAAAAATATTTACTCATTTACAACTAGCTTTACAATGCTTATCTAAATTGATTTGATAGGGACATTTTTAAGAATGTTCAATTTTAAGGATTTGAGTTGAAAATTGTTCACTTATTTGAATTTAGTGTCAACTTGTCTATTATGTCCTTAATGAAAAGCTACATTTTGAAATGGTATTCTCGACATTTGATTTTTTTATCAATTTGTCACGAATTTTGAGAAGTGGCTTTCATGAGAAGTTACATTAAAATAATATTTCTCGACATTTAAACGCCGTTTCATTTGTCTAGAATGACATTTCATTTTGAATATGACATTTTTCTACATTTAAAAATATTGTTCTCGACGTTTCTGAATCAATGAAAAATATAGCATTTATTGTGATTTGACATGTATATTTTTTGAAATAAATATGGCAGGATATGTGTCAAAATTTTATTGGCCAATAACAATATTGCAAAAATGTCCTTTTTTTGTCTTAGTGTGAAATTATAAATTGTTAATAAGGATATTTTGGTCTACATTCTTTCAAATTAGATATTTTTGCAATGGTGAACATTTTTATAAATGACTAGGTAAAAAGGACATTTTGTGAAATTTTCTCTTTGGATATACCAACGATTTAAATTTGCAGCATTGCAAGTAAGAACCTTATATACCTTCAGCGACACCAATCCATAGTTTTTCTACAAAATTCGCCGACAGTATTGAACCTATAGCAAATTCTAGTTTAGATCACTATACTTGTACACGCGACTAGTACCTAATGAGATTTCGCCACAAGTTCGGCGAACTATAGCCATTGTAAGAATTGAAGCCCTTTGCTTACGTTTAATCAGTTAGCCTTGTGTTTGCAGCCAAAAGTAGGACATGAATGCCGCAAATCGGGTATGCCCTGATTGTTGGCATTATAAGCAAATATATTTGAAAGGATGAACAATCAGGCTCCTGCATCACTCAACAAATGGATATGGTTTTATGGTGTTACAATGCGAGATCTGGATTTCACTGCAATAGCTCTTGAAGTCCGAAGATATGGATTCATCTGCAGCTATTTCTATGCGCTGATTGTTGGCATTATAAGCAAATATATTTGAAGGGATGAACAATCAGAATCCTGCATCACTCAACAAATGGAGATGGTTTTATGGTGTTACAGTGCGAGATCTGAATTTCACTGCAATAGCTTTTGAAGTCCGAAGATGGATTCATCTGCGGCTATTTACTTTAACGACCCTCAAATTATTGAGATATGTTCTCAAATGCCTCTCTCTTTTTGTCATTTCTCCTTCCTCTGTTTCTCACGAGGATTTTCATTCTGAAAGTACTGTAAATAAACTCCATCGTCCTCTTGATTTCATTGGTGAGAAGGGGTATGCCCCTCTTGGATGGTGTTCTTGTTGATTCTGATTAATGTAAGTTTCAAGTTTTGGCTTAAAGTAGCTTCTTAATCTCGTATTTTTAGAATAAAATCTATCTATCTATCTGCTAATAGTGAGTGACAATTAAGGGAAATTAATTTACAATTATGCTAGGTGGACAGGGTTATTGACAGAATAGATACAGGGATTTGAAAAATGATCACTGTACATTATTTAATTCATTAAAAGGTGAATAAAGCCACCAAATGCAAAATGGAGGGAAATTGATTAATTCATAGAACAAAGCTCTCTCTCTCTCTCTCTCCACCCACTTCCCCAAAGTACAGAAACGAAAGGGAGAAAATTTCCTCCGGCTGGCTCAATTGAAATTTCAACGAAAGGGAGAAAATTTCCTTCAGCCGGCTCAATTGAAATCTCTATTTCCACCCATTTTTTTCCAAATTTTTTAACTTCCATCTCCACCCATTTCGAGTCCCAGAAGGGAGAAAGCAACCTTCGGTCGGCACATGCTTGAAGTTCTTCGGCTGCAAACGAGCTCAAGCTCACTCGGCGCTCATCTTTACTAAGTCACCAGCGGCTTTTCTTTTATAATGTAGATGTTGGAAGTGGGTTTGTTAGAATTTTGCTTGCCATTTGTGTGGTTGTGGAAGTGATTTTTTTATGTTGTAATAATTTATGGTCGGCATGGCTTTGATGGTAGGCTAAATCCATTGTAAATAATCCAATCGCATTGGTTCACTTTGACTTTGGTTGCTAGAATTTTATTCACCTCCCACCATATTAGTCACTGAAACTTCCATTTTTATTAAAGTTTAATTCATCCATTTTATTACCCCCCGGCGCTCCTCCATATTGGTTCGCTTTGGTTGCTGGTGTCCTGTGAGTGTATATGTATTGTGATAATTTATATTGATGAAGGTGTATGATATCAGATGGAGTTGAACAAGGGGCTGGCAAGTTTTTTCTTTTTCCTGGGTCTATAGTGCCAGCCACGCAAGAAATAATGTTGAATTGGCATTGAATTGTATGATTAAGTGGAATACATTTATCAGAGAGATTTTCAATTGATCTTCTCTAAAGCATTTTTACACAACTTAACAAGAACACATTAAACTTTGATCATTGTGTCTGCAGAATTCATCCCAGCAAATCTTAGAACAAAAATTTTCACCACTGCACAAATCCACAATTCACGTTTATACTGAGCTTTCTTTTACCTTGGTCGAGACATATTCAACAAGATGACAAAGTGAAAAGGAAGGGGGTAAATTCAGTGAGGTCAATGCTTACTAAACTAACAAGATGTCCTCTCCATTTTAAGGTAGTTTATACCTTGGGAGCCTATGGATGCAAGCCATTCCTGAAAAATGAAGCAAATGAAAATAGTTATTGTAAAAGTGCAATTGTGTCACCATTTAGTTCTTCACGACAATGAACACAATAATTCATAAATTGAAGCGGAGATTATATTTCCTTGAATTATAATCAGTGCAACATCTTTTTATATTATTTTCAATTTAATCTCTCTCCTACAAAGCTAGTAACTCTTTCCAGCAATATTTACTAGGTGGGTTTTCTCAAATAGTCCTGGCAATAGACAATATATTCTTTTTCGACATAAAATGTAATGCCTCTTATCGTTGGGTAGCCAATACATAAAATTACTGCTATGTTTAATGTTCAATAAAGAAGATGGTCGTAAATATATGAAGCCAAGTACAAATAGATAATCTAAAGGGTAATTTACAAGTAACAATGACATTCGAAATAAGAGTTGAAATATAGCATTTCATAAATTAGGGGAATTTACAAACATAGTTTACGTGCCTTCGCTCAAAATAATTCGACCTCATACAAAAGATTATGTAATAACTACTACTTCTACTAATAGCTACTAATAAGGTCGACCCCTTCCCTTCTCAATTCACTTCAATGATTCATTGCACACCTTCACGTTCACTGCAATATGTAGATCTTCTTCTGCAGAGATACAAACTTGAGATTGAAACATCTGTGATATTTGCTCAAATGTTTCGTTCATCGCAAAGTTAACCGAGGAAGCACTAGCTCTAGACGATTGGCCGCTTGAATCTTCTTTGACAACCCACAGTTTCCAAAATCCAAGGCGTATTGACTCCAGTAGCTTCAATAGTGCATTTGTACAAATTCTGTACATATGTTTGTCTGTTTATGCATCCAGAAATGTATGAAATTATACATGAGAAACACAAATACAAATACAAAAGTAGATAGGAATTTAACAAAATTATGCATACATGAGAAACACAAATACAAAAAATAACCAAACAGACTGCCTCATTACTAAACTGTTTTGATGCACAATTTTAGTCGCATTTAGAAAAATTATACCTTGTTGCTAAAGCCCTAAAAACCTATTTTATTTGGGTACTTCACAAGACTTAAAACCCCAAATTTTCACCTATTTTTCGGAAAATAAATCAAATAAAAAAAAAATAACCAACATCCATAAACAAACATGTTTGGATGCATAGATACATAACTACAAGTATATAGAGAGATAATTACATTAACATCGCAAAAAAAAAAAAAAAAAAAAAAAAAAAAAAAAAAAAAAAAAAAAAAAAAAAAAAAAAAAAAAAAAAGAGGACAAGAAGAAGAAGAAGAAGCTTACATCATAAAAGAAAGAGGATTATCAGAATTTGGTAACAGTATCAAGAAAATGATTTTTTTTTTTAAATCAAGAAAGTTACAAATGAAAAATGAAATAAATAAAACGCAGCCGACGGAGCAGTAGTCTAATTGGTTGCTCTCTCTCTTTCTCTAGCTTGGTTTGGTGAGCCCACAAGAGCAAGAACAGAGGCAACCAAAATATTGTTCGAAGTTCGAATCGATCGCTCGTTCACAATAATGAAGCAAAAATCCAAACTCGTGTGCAAAGAAATTTGACCGCTAGCCATTTAAATGTGGTCTTCAACATCTAATATATCAAAGATAAAAATAACAGAGCTCCAGTAAAATCTTCAATTCAATGGAAAATAAAGAAAAAATCACCGGTATATGCATTTATACACTTACTAGGCGGGACTAAGATGATGTCGATGGAGATTTGTGGACTTCGTAAAGATGAGCACCGAGTGCGTTTGAGCTTGCTTGCGGCCGGAGAACTTCAAGCATGTGCCGATCGGAGGTTGCTTTCTCCCTTCTTGGATTGGAAATGGATGGAGATGAAAGTTAAAAAAAATTGGGGAAAATGAGAGGAAATTTTCTCCCTTTCGTTTCTGTAGTTTGGGGAAGTGGGTGGGGGAGATAGAGAGAGCTTTGTTTTATGAATTAATCAATTTCCCTCCATTTTGCATTTGGTGGCTTTATTCACTTTTTAATGACTTAAATAATGTACAGTGACCATTTTTTAAATCCCTGTATCCATTCTGTCAATAACCCTGTCTGTCTAGCATAATTGATTAATTTATACTTTACTATGAGATATTTTATAAACTTAAAGGTCCCCGTGTCACATTCTGTTCTTTTGCACCTCAATTCTGCAGAAAATTTACATAGAATTTCTTGATTCGATTTTTCCCATAAAACAGCCTTCAAGTTTTCAAATAGCAATTGCTGTGCCTGTACACGAAGACCGACCATCAAAATTATCGTGGCTCAAAAAGCCGCAAGTTACCATGAGCTGATGAACAAGCTAAAACCCAACTTTTTGCCGCCAACCACAACGGTGCCCGCCGCCACAAGAACTTTGAATGCCACCATCAATCGTCTCTCCGCCCAAGGCTTCCACCGCGAAGTTGTTCTTAACTTCATCTCCGTGCTCAAACCCCCCACCATTCCTCCAGACGCCTTCACGTACCCTCCGCTTCTCAAAGCTTGCACATCGCTTAACCTCTTCTCTCTCGGCCTCTCACTCCACCAACAAACTATTGTTAATGGGTTGTCTGAGGACCCCTACATTTCCTCCTCGTTGATCAATTTCCATGCAAAATTTATGAACACCCGTTATGCTCAAAAGGTGTTTGATATGATGCCTTATAGAAATATCGTCCCATGGACTGCAATAATTGGGTGTTATTCACGTGGTGGTATTATGAAAAATGCATTCTTTATGTATAATTCTATGCAGAATGAAGGGATTCAACCCAGTTCCATAACCATTTTGACTCTGCTCTCCGGGGTTTCTGACAATGCCCACATGGATATTTTGCACTGTTGCATAGTTAAAACTGGTTTTCAGTGTGATATAATTTTGATGAATTGTATGTTAAGTGTATATGCTAAATGTGGAAGAGTAGGAGACGCCAGGAAGTTATTTGAATCATTGAATGACAAAGATATTGTTTCTTGGAATAGCTTGATTAATGCCTATTCAGCGGTAGGGAACGTTAGTGAAGTCTTTAATCTTTTGTACAGAATGAAGGATGAAAATCTAGTGCCTGATCAACAGACGTTTGGATCATTGATCTCTGCAGTTGCGAGAGAGGGTAGCGTTGAAGTGGGAAGAATTGTGCATGGACAGATCGTTACGTCAGGATTTCAATTAGATAAACATGTTGAGACGTCACTTATGGTTATGTACTCAAGATGTGGGAAAATGAATGATTCTTTACAGGTTTTCAATAAGGCAGGTGATAAGGATGCAGTGTCATGGACAGCAATGATCTCAGGACTTGTCCAGAATAACTATGCAGACAAGGCATTGGCTGTGTTTCGAAGGATGATGGTTTCGCATGTGATTCCTTCTACTGCAACTATGACTTGTGTTCTTGCAGCCTGTGGGCAATTGGGTTCTATCAGACTAGGGACTTCAGTACATTGCTACATGTTAAGGCAGAGAATGGCAGCAGACATTCCTACTTATAATTCTCTTGTTAGTATGTATGGGAAATGTGGCCATTTAAAGCAGAGTTATTATGTTTTCAGCATGATGAATGATAGAGATGTTGTCACCTGGAATGCAATAGTTTCTGGTTATGCACAGAATGGAAATTTAAATAAGGCTCTGTATCTCTTCAACGAAATGAGAACAGCACACCACAGTCCTGATTCAATAACCATTATCTCCCTTCTTCAAGGTTGTGCTTCCATTGGGGCTTTCCAGCAGGGGATATGGATTCACAACTTCGTTGTTAGGAACTGTGTTGGACCGTGTATCATGATTGACACAGCTTTGGTTGATATGTATGCCAAATGTGGTGACTTGAGTACTGCTAGAAAGTGTTTTGATAGAATGCCACATCACGATATGGCTTCATGGAGCACGATTATTGCTGCATATGGTAGTCATGGAAAAGGAGAGATGGCTTTGGAGATGTTTGCAGAATTTCTACAGAATGGACATGCACCAAATGATGTCATGTTCTTATCTGTTCTCTACTCCTGTAGTCACAATGGGCTTGTTGGCCATGGTATGAGCATTTTTGAGTCAATGAAAAATGAGTATAAGATTGAACCAAAGCTTGAACATTGCGCGTGCATTGTTGATCTCCTTTGCCGGGCTGGTAAGGTAGAAGATGCATTTGACTACTATAAGAGGATGTTCCCGGAACCAATGGAGGATGTTCTAGGCATCCTACTTGATGCCTGTCGAAAAAATGGTGAGCAAGAGCTTGGAGAAATTATTGCCAAGGAAATTTCTGGTTTGAAGCCTGAAGATGCTGGTAAGTATGTGCAACTGGCTCACAGCTTTGCTTCAATGGCCAGATGGGATGGGGTGGGAGAAGCTTGGCTCCAAATGAGATCTCTTGGCCTAAGAAAAACTCCAGGTTGGAGTTTTATTGAAATGCATGGCACAGTAACTACATTTTTCTCACCCCACAGTTCACATCCTCAATATGCAGAAATAATTTCCGTATTGAGAAATCTGACATATGGAATAAGGCAATTGGTGTTAACTTCAGAACAAGAAGATTTTGTGTTTGATTCAAATGTGCTGTAAAGATTAATGGTATCCAATTTGTTATGTAAAACATGGAACGCAAGAAGTGAGGCATCAAATTCCAGGACAAGGATAACTGCAGGGCTCAAGTTTATCGCCTATGCGACAGAGCTATCAGAAACCTGTTTTCTTATCTAAGAAAGAGATCCTGATGAATTCACTGTTCAGTTGGATCGCTTTATTCTTTTTTCTGATTGTAACACTATATTAATAGACATCTTCTGCTTGGATTCATATGTACTAATCACGGTGGATACTGTCTGGGGCAAGGGTTATTGAGAAAAATGGAGAGAAAAAATGGAGTTTCTGTATCTTTCTACATATATTTTCATTACAATATATAAAGATATACAAGAAATAAATCAGTGCTCTTTCTAAGGCTAATAAATCGTGATCCAATATTAGTGGAATTTGATTTGTACTAACCTAGGAAAGTTAAACTAAATAAATCAATTACATATATACAGCAATATTTATTAATACTCCCGTTCAAGTTGGAGACTGAATATCATGAAGTCCCAACTTGTTACGTAGTGATACGAATTGATCCTTCCCTAGATCCTTTGTGAATATATCTACCAACTGGAAGCCTGTAGGTACATATGAAGGATTAATCATTCCAGCTTGCAATTTTTCTCGGACGATGTGACAATCTATTTTGATGTGTTTTGTACGCTCATGAAAAAAGGGATTTGCTGCAATGTACAAAGCTACTTGATTGTCACAGAACAATGGTGTAGAAGTCTTCTGTGAGACTTTCAAGTCTTGTAATATATAGCGTAGCCAAGTTAGCTCCAAACACGTGTTGGCCATAGCTTGATATTCAGCCTCAGCTGATGATCGGGAAACATTGGTTTGTTTCTTAGATTTCCATGAGATGAGAGAATTTTCAAGGAAAATACAGTATCTTGTAACTAATCTTCTTGTGGCACAACAACCTCCTCAATCTGAATCGTAGAAAGCTTTTAGAGTAAGGTTGTTTGTGGAAGGTAATAGTAGACCTTGACCAGGAGAACCTTTGATATACTTAAGGATTCGTGTGGCAGCATCCCAATGAGATTTTTGAGGCTTATGGATGAATTGGCTCAATGTTCGAACGGAATAAACTATGTCTGGCCTCGTGACAGTGGGATAAATCAATCTTCCAATCAATCTTCTGTACTTAGTTGGATCATTCAACAATGCTCCATCTGTGGGAGCGAGCTTCAAATTTTGCTCCATTGGAGACTTATCTGGCCGTGCACCAATTAAACCTGAATCTTCTAAAATATCTAATGCATATTTTCTCTGAGACATGAAAATACCTTTCTTGGAATGGGAAAACTCAATATCTAAAAAATATTTCAATTCTCCAAGATCCTTGATACGAAAATATTTGAGAAGAAATTTTTTGAGATATTCGATTTCTTGAAGATCATTTCTTGTTAGGAGAATGTCATCAACATAGATGAGAACAACAGTAAGCGAAGTGCCTTGAGTCTTGGTAAAGAGAGAATAATCAGCTTTTGATTGTTGATAGCCAACTTTTTGAATGATGTTTGAGAATGTGGAAAACCAATTTCTTGATGCTTGTTTGAGCCCATAAAGGGACTTGTTGAGTCGACACACAATGTTCTCCCCCTGCTTGTGAAGACCAGGTGGAAGCTCCATATAAACTACCTCGTGTAGATCACCGTGAAGGAAAGCTTCTGGACATCTAATTGATGTGTGAACCAATTGTAGGCAGTGACAACAGTAAGAAGACAACGGAATGTGGTGAGTTTTGCTGTTGGAGAGAATGTTTCCTGATAATTGATGCCCTCAATTTGATTATATCCTTTAGCAACAAGACGAGCCTCGTAGCATTCAATCGTTCCATCAGCCTTGTATTTTATCTTGTAGACCCATTTACAACCAATTGGTTTATGACCAGTAGGCAAAGAAAGAAGGCTCCACGTGTTATTTTGTTGTAATGCTCTTAATTCTGCATTCATAGCTTCTTGCCAATGTGGATCAATGATAGCTTGAGCATAGGATTTGGGCTTAGTTTGCCCTGTAATGTTAGCTAGAAAAGAACGATCGGTAGAAGATATGCGAGAATACGAAAGGAAATGAGAAAGAGGATACCGGGTACTTGAGGCAGAGTTAGATTGATTTGCCTGAGTTGACATCATGTAGTCTTTATGCCATGCCGGTGGTTGCTTATGACGAGTAGAGTGTCGCATATGAGGAACGGATCGTGTGATAGGATCTGAGGTTGGTAAATTGAGTTCTATTTGAGGTAAAGATGGAGTAGGTTCGGTTGGTACTTGTATTGGTGGTTCTAGTGTGGTAGGTGTGTGTGATGTAGATGTGGTCTCGTGTAAGTTAGTTTGTTGGGTTTCGTGAGATGAGATATTTGTGGTAGGTGTGTGTGATGTAGATGTGTTCTCATGTAAGTCAATTTGTTGGGTCTCATGAGATGGGATATTTGGTATGAAAGGTTGTGTAAGAGGTCCTATGCTTGTAGTGTCAAGAGTAAGATTAGGCAATAAAGAGTCTAGATTAGGTGATGGTGAAATTTGAGAAAATGGAAAATTGGTTTCATGAAATTTAACATCACGACTTACAAAAAATTTCTTAGTCTCCATATCATAAAGTTTGTAACCTTTTTGACCAGTAGGATATCCAACAAAGATGCAACGCTTAGCACGAGGCTCGAATTTGTGAGTAGGGTGAACAATAGTAGCATAACATAGACAACCAAAAACCTTTAAGTGATCAAGTGATGGAGGACGATTGTATAACATTTCAAAAGGGGATTTGGTGGACAACAATGGTGATGGGAGTCGATTAATAAAAGGTAAACAACGGTCATAACGCATTCACCCCAAAATATAAGTGGTAAATGGGATTGAAAATGCAATGCACGTGCTACAGTGAGAATATGGCGATGCTTTCGCTCGACAACTCCATTTTGTTGTGGAGTGTAAACACAAGTACGTTGATATTCAATTCCGTGAAATTGAAAGAAATTTTTCATGGATAAGAATTCAGAACCATTGTCTACTCTAATGGCCTTAACATATATCTGGAATTGAGTATGAGCAAAATTAATGAATGATTTCAAGATATTTTGTGTTTCAGATTTATGTTGCATAAAAAATACCCATGTGCATCGAGAAAAATCATCAACAATAGTAAGAAAGAAACATGCCCCTAAATGTGTTGGAACATTATGTGGACCCCAAATATCACAATGTAGCAAATCAAATGGAGCGTGAGTTGATATGGAACTTAAAGGAAATGGAAGTCTAGTTTGTTTAGCCATAGGGCAAATGTTACAATTATTATCATAGGAAATATTATTAGAAGACAATAATGAAGAAACCAATTTAAGACGATGTGGTGATGGATGCTCAAGATGCATATGCCATAGATTTGAAGGTTGAGAAACTTGATTAGAGATTGATTTTTTTGTAGCGAAGACATGTATTAGAGACCACCGTGCTGTTTACCCGAGCCAATCGTCTTCCTCGTATCCAAGTCTTGCGAGACACAAAAAGAGGGAAACAAGATGGCACAATAGTTTAGAGCAGTGGTGACTTTGCTTACAGACATCAGATTTAAGTGAAAAGAAGGAACACATAAAACATTATTTAAAGTTATGTCTAAGTTGAATGGTACTGTCCCCATTGAAGTGATTGGGGTGGAAGATCCAGTGGGTAAATTGACAATAGGTATTGATGAGGATTCTCTTTGAGTAAAAAACGTAGGATCAGAAATAATGTGATCAGTAGCTCCACTATCCAGAATCTAAGGTCTAGTGAATACAGAATTAATTGAGCTATGAAAAGTGAACAGACCTGCAGCATTTGCATAAGCTTTGTTATTACTAGAAGCATGGTTTGGAGTCATCATAGATATTGTATGAGAAAGTTGCTAGAGTTCTTCTACAGAAAGTCCATGCAATGAGTTTGGAGAGTTGTAATCATTGTGATTTTTCTGTGGAAGACTATGTGAGGAATTCAACGAATTATAAAGATGGGCTGGAGTACTGATGTTTTGCTGGTGATCCTCATGTGCAAGCTGAGAAGGAATTTGTAGCATTAGCAGCAGGAAAAAACTTTCCTGTATTACTCCGCAAGTTCCATTTTTATAGTTGCACCTTTCCTCAGTATGACCTCTTTTGTCACAATACTTGCAATGACGTGTGTATCTAGGGAATAGTCGCTTGAAAGCGAATTCTCCCTAGATAAATCTATTCAATTCTGAATTTCTTTCAAGGACTCGAACCTCCACGCTCTTTAGCACGAGATTTTGAGTCTCGCATGTCAGAATTTTAAAGTTCGACAATTTTCAATTGTATGACCTTCTCTATTATAGTACTCACAACGCTTGTCTTTGAAATTATTTGAGGAGTTGTTGGTTTGACTCTGAATTACAGCAGCGATGGAAAAGTTTTCAGTTGATTCTGATGCCATTTGTCGTTATGTTTCATCTTGAATGGCGAGAGAGTATGCTTGACGTACATTAGGCAACGACGACATCATGAGGATATTGGTACGAACAACATTATAGGTCTCGTTAAGGCCCATGAGAAATTGCATCAACCGATCTTCTTCTCTCTGATTATTATGTTCTTTCATCTGGTTGTAGGTGAGAAGAGGTCTATATGTTTCCAATTCATCCCAAAGGCTTTTGATTTTTGTAAAATATGTTGAAATTGTCATTGTACCTTGTGAGAGACAAGCTAAGGACTTCTGGATTTGATAGATTACTGGTGCATTTTTTTGTGAAAATTGATCTTTCAAATCTTCCCACACTTGTTGAGCAGTATTTGCATGAACTATCCCCCTTGTTAGATCAGGTTCTACAGAGTGAGTTAGCCATGATAAAATCATGCTGTTGCATTGGTTCCAAAGAGCATATTCTACTGGTTTTTCGATTTCTGAAGGTGGCTAAATTGATCCATTGACGAATCCAATTTTGTTTTTGGCTGTGAGGGCATGAATCATAGATTTACTCCATGATGAGTAATTGGTGCCATTCAATTATGTTTGAACAAGCATATGTCCAGGTTAATCTGAATGATGAACAAAATATGGGTTTGATGGATCTACACTGGGACTGACTTTACTGGTGTTTGAATGATCAGGATGTGACCTTTCTAATGGCGTTTGATCTTCACTTGCCACAGTGCTCATATGAGTGAAAAATAATCAGACACGGGAAAGTTGCTTTGATACCATGAGAAAAAATGGAGTTTCTGTATCTTTCTACATATATTTTCATTACAATAT